CTGCTGTTGGGCTTCTCGAGCCTCTTGTGATTTGTTGCTTGGTGTATGTTCGGAATGGTCACTGCTTTCCTGCCGTGATGTCTTTTCGGAAGTTTTTCGCGATATTTGGCCGTCTTTTCCTGCAATTCGCGCTTTTTTATTTATATGCATATGAGTGATGAGCACGTTTGGTGGTACTGATCAAAAGTAGGATCGTCTAAGTGAGCCTTAACAGCAGCGTCGCTATGATGTATTGATGGTGTGGCGGTTTTTATTCTTTTACTTCACTACATCCATCATACTGACGAGGCGCAGTTGTGATTTTGAAAAGAAATGTATACGGCTTATTGGACCGAAACATTCCTCTTCAGATTTCTTTCTATTTCGATTCTGAAAAAAAAAAAAAAAAGAAACTGTGGGGCAGCTGCGTGAGCCCCGGTTCTGCTGACTGTGTCGAGACTTGACTCCGGAACAACTGTGGGGCGCGATCGCATGAGCACCGCTTTACTGGCCGTACAAACCTCGATTTCGAGTCAGATGTGGGCAGACCACATTAACCCCAGTTCTGCTGGCTATGCAAATATTGATTCCAACCCTTCAATGGGGCAGCTGGTTTAGCTCCAGGCTTTTTTGGTTTCTCCATTTACAGGGCGAAAGGCTTTAGCCCCGGTTTCCGCAAGTTTCCAACGTGACGGTTTTTGGGTTCAACGTGACTGATTTAGTGATTGCGAGAACACTGCTGATGCATTGTTTCAAAGTTAACTGGGTAAACGACTTCATATGGCTTGTTCCCCAGTCTCAAATAGTCCACGGAGTCAGCGCGTTGTTTGCTGGAATAGGTGAGCAGCATTTTACCTGAAATAGCATTCTTTGCGCGGAAGAAGTTGAAAGCATTTTTGCTCCAGTGACCAAATTTTGCCAGTCTGGCCCCTCGTAGTTTTTTGCTTGTTTTTTTATCCGCACTTTCGGCATGTTCCACAGAATTCGGCTCAATTGAAAGTTTCTTTGGTGAGATCGCTTCAGCAAATGCTGCTGGAGAAGCATTCGTGCCCGGTCGATCGGATGGCGAAGGTGCCTGGTCGGGTGGTGTTGTTATTGGTTCTTCTGAGGTGCTACCGGTCCTGGAGAAATTGATCAGGAACTCGCCGTTGTTGTCCTCGTCATGGTTCTCTTGAATTGTAATTTCTTTGCTGAAAAATGAGGCAGCAGTGAAACAGTTCGCAAGTCAGTTAGTGCTGTTTTTGAGGGAAATATGACTAAGAAGGGATATGCTTGGACTACGAAGATGCAATTTTGGCAGTAGAAAGAGTGGAACGTTTGAAAAGAGACAGTACACTTACGTCTGTAATTACTGAAACAAGTTTGCGGTAGACAAAAAGTTCTGGCATAGCTAGGCGCTGACTGTGGAGCATCAAAAACGTTCATTATTTTTCGTATTTTTTTGTGATTTTCCATTTTTTTGGATAATTGCGGTCTTTCTGGGGCCGCAGTTGTACGTAGAGCTTAGATGCTTTGCCATAAATGGCATACTGGGTATCGGTGTGATCAATGCGAGATTAACTAAAATCTGCGACGGGTTGATCACACTATTTTCTAGTCCATCTGTATGTATTGCCGGATCCAGGGGAAGGAAGACGAAGGGACTTTCCCCGTTCTTCAGCAACACAGGCACCAGTGCTGCAAAAGCCCGGTTCGAAAGCTGAAACTAAAGCCTAAAGAAACTTTAAGCTAAAGTAACTCTAGGTAGCAGTGTTGCAACTCTATTCCTAGTTTTT